TGTCCCGGTGTCTCTGTCGTTACTTTCATATCAGCGTGTTGACAATGTCGCTCTGAACGCAACCTAGTGTGAACCAGACATTGTGCATTTCTCAACGTTCTTCAGCGCGGTGGAATGAAAATGGGCAGTCCTTCCATCGTTTCTCCACGGAAGGCTAAAGGCCGGTTCAGACACTTGCGTCTGAGTGCGTTTGACTGCGTTGCGTCGAGAACCGAAAGCGAGTCACCGGCACATCTGTGCTTCGTATGAAGCGCGGAATCCTATTCAAGGAATCATCTTGGCACGCGATATAAGCAGCAGGGATGTCCGGGTTTCTCGCAGCCTCAACGCAGTCAAACGCAGTCAAACGCGACTGTCTGAACCAGGCTTAAGCCTCTGGAAGCTCGCTTACGCAGCGCACCGCCACGGGTTTTGAACGTAGTGACTAAAAATCGGGGCAAACAATACTGAAGCCAAACGCTGAGCTGGGACATGGCACGCGACGACCTGTTTTAGACCGCCATAATTCTCGGAGGCCCCGAGTGGAACCGATTGGAGCGCTGCGATCGCTCGACCGTGACGTAGGATGGGGAATGACGTGATAAGGCCAGCTATTCCGCCTTGCTTTGGTCGGGGTCTTCGGAAACTGTTCGCTCAGTACTTTCGCCTCTTTTTTTTTTTTCTATGTTTGCAGCCTGATCAGCACACGCGTAAATCGGCTTCGGCAGCTGTCGAGCTCAGGGAGAAACTGTAAAGTATACTGTTTGGTGCAGCAATGCCGCAGTTACGCGACCGACATAAACATCAGCTTCCACATCTACCCCAAGGAGAGGCAGCTGCGCACGGAGTGGCCTTCAGTGGCGTACCAACTTGTTTTTAAGGAGGGGGGGGGGGGGGGGGCAAACCGGACCCCCCCCCCCCCCTTTCCAGGAACAGGGGGCGGTGCACTTGGTACCCTTTGGGCGCCGCCGGCCAGTGTTTAACCCGCCCATTGGTGGCTGTTTCAGGTGGGGCAAAACACATGCCTTGCCCCAAAAGTTTCCGCAGAGAGTGATGCCACGCATCCGTGAATCACATCATACTTCCATTCAGTGTTATTTCCAGCTCGTGCAGGTCCTAAGTGAGTGCCGACGTTTGGAGAACGAATCCAATGAACGTGCAGCAATCCTTATCCAGCTTCTTGATGCTGCAGGAGAACATGTGTCCCTCTTTAAAAACTCTTTCGCCCTCGAGCAACAGCCGGGATGTTTCCTGGGCCTTGTCCACGAGCGCATTGATGTTGCTTACAGGCAGCACAACTGAAAAAGGATACGCAGTTGCAACGGGGTGCCCGGTCGAATAGAAGTTAAAAAAAAAAAGTTTTCTCAACTTCAACGGTAGGTCACACTTTATCAGTATTCATTGCGGTGCGCGAGACAGCCGTCGAAAACGACAAGTTGGTTGCAGCGACCGGTTCCCTGCTCGCCTGCAACCGGCTAACCGGCTCCCCGGAGGCATCCGAACGGTAGCCGATTTAGGAACGTGACGGAATCGAGTAGTGAAACGAAAAATTGGGTTCAAAGAAGCTTTAAACACCGGCCGTAGTATTAGAAAAGGAAAAGACCGAGATACTGTCGAGACCGGTTATAACGAAATCGGTTATAACGAAATAGCGGCGACAGCGAGGCGATCACAATATCCCATGCCCTTTTGCACTTCGTTATAACGGAAGTCGGTTATAACGAAATATCGGATATAGCGAAGTGATTTCCGATTCCCGTTGACTTCGTAATAATAGGTCTCGACTGTACTCCTCCCTTGGCGCAGAGTGCAGGAAACGGTCACGTGATCCCCCATCCTACGTCACGATGATAGGCCCGTCAGCTAGCGCCACGCCATGTTCTCGGGGCTAGAGTCGCGAATATACGAGAGGACATTACGGTGATTTCTTATTGCACTAAATGATACGTTTCGCGCGTATCGCCACACGAGGTCTTTCATATGCTACTTCACCTGTACCTGCGCTTTGTCAGCGTCCCTGCAATTCGGTCTGACTTTGTACTCCTTTATGTTTCGCATGTACGCACCAGACAGTCGAAAAACATTTCCGTTCTGGACGCACGAGAGGCGGCCCCAAGCGACATCAACAAATCCGAGATTAATACAAACAGCTCCAGATGTAAGTATATCGGGGGAAAAAAAAGTGTTTAAGAGACCCGGTATCTCTGTTATTATCATTCCTTCCGGTAATTAAAACTGGTAAAATGACGGACAGGTGTCAGAGCGCTGGGAAAACTCAAAACGATCAAGATGGGTACTGGAAAGTGTTAACCTATTCTTTTCATTTTCGCAGTTTTAAAACCACTGAATCCCTTCACTCGCGAAGAGATGGTTGCTTTCACATATCATGCGGTGCATTACATTCGCGTTAAAAAAAATACAGGAAGATTCATTGGTAGGTTCTGAGGGAATGCGTTAGCGTGATCCTTGGAAACGCCACACGCGTCCCCCTTTAAGAAACGCTAACGCTGACCCCTCCACTTTTCTCTTCTGGCTTTCTCTTCTGCTTTTTTGTCTCGTTACGGGGTCAGTGTTAGCGTTTCCCAAAATGGGACGTGTGTAGCATTTCCTAAGGGTCGTGCTAACGGTTTCCCTGAGATTCCACCAATGGATCTTCCTGTAATTATTTTTCGCCCCTTTTTTGTACTCTGCCTGTCAGAGTGCGTCGAACCCCTTAAATGCGGTCATCCATATGACTCGTGGAAAGAAACACATCCATTAACCTCGTGGAAGGAACCGCATCCGTATCACTCGTGGAGGGATACGCATCCATCGTTTTAACTACACATGCACACATCACAGCCAACGCGCTGCTACTGCGGAAACCCAGAGCGAAGAACAACCGGCGACGCCAGAGCGGCAACTGAGCACGCCCGCATTCCACCGCGCAGCGGCGCAACACCTCCTCGATAAGAAAGCCGTAGTGCTCAATGAGATGGCGTCATCAGGGAAGGCCAGCGCTGGGCACAGATTGGACACGACGATTGCGTCAACGTTCGGCTCAAACTTGATTCGAAGCCGAGCGCTGACGCAGCACTCGTTTCCAATCTGTGTCCAGCTTTGGCCTTCTCTGATGACGCCATCCTATTCAGCCCTACGACTTTGTTTTCTAGGAGGTGCTGCTCGGCGCCTCCTCTAAAGCGCTGGATATCCTGGCCTGTCCACGTACTGCAATCGTGTGATCGGGCCGCGGGCGTTCGCACTGGATGCCGGGCGACGCGTCGCCATTTTTAGCCTATGGCGCGTCTCACATCCCGACGCGCACGCTCCTATTGGTCTGCTGTGGCTGCCAATGACGCGCCGCCATTGCAAGCACGCTCCTATTGGTCTCTGTGTATGTCTGCGCCGCGCCGCCTGGACAAACTAGATTCGCGGCGACGCTCCGCTATTTTTGGCTCAAGTGCTGCGTCCCAGCAGCATGCACCAGCTCGGCGGTACTTGTTCATAAAATTCAAATTCACCCATCGCTTTAGCCTCCTTCTCTCTGGCTCCGCACCGGCTGAGCGCGTGTCTTTGACGAAAATGAAAGGGCTCGTTTTGACGAAAACACGGTGGTGTCAATCAGTTTGTCAGCGCCGGGGAGAGGGAGAAGTTGACACGCGCAGACGTCAGCGCTTTGGGCCATGACCCAAGATATGTTCTCTGCTGTTGCAACGAGTTGTGAAAACCAGTAATATTGTTTGTTTGAAAAATCCATTAAAATACTTGTGCAACAATGAAAATTAAATATTACCCCCAAAAGTTAAAATAAATTACACTGGCGCCGAACACTGAAATCAAGCAATAGCTTGATTGCAATCTTCAGCACCAGCTAGTGTACAGCATGTCATCACTGAATCGTCAACGTGATTCATCAAACTTATTAAAAAGATAATTAATAAATTTTAGTTAATTAGCCTAATGATCTACATTTGCTTTTTTTAGGGTGTTGAAATAAGAGAGGGGGGCGATTCCGAGAGACAATTCAAATAATGTATTAAGTACGAGTAATATCTGCTCCGCCTCTCCGTGTTTTTGCGACAAATGATGGGTCACCGGCAAAGTCGGATTCAAAAATTAGACTGCCATATATGCAGCTAGAGCGAACACACCATATGTTTGCACTAGAGAGGGGTCCGGTGTCGCTGCGTTGTTGCTGCCGTGTTGGGTTGTGTTCTGTGTATTATGTGTGTTCAGAGACGTATGTATATCTACCATGTAGCGTTCACAAGTCGGGGGAACTTAAAATATTTTTTTTAGAGTCTGCTGGCTAAAGAGAGCCATAGGGTAAGCCATAGATAAGTCTTTAGCCAACGATTTTACAAGCTAAAGAGCGCTATGGCTGGACAGCGATAGTGCAATAGACAAAGCTAAAGAGGCCCATAAAAGCGACCATAAAAAATGCTAAAGACAGCCATAGAGAATTCTTTAGCTAATTGGGCCAAATAGCTAAAGCCGATCATACAAAGAATGTTTTATAGCCGACCATAGGACATGTTTGTATGGGCAATGGGAGCGTCGCACGCGTAGCCGGCTCCTCCTCCTTTTTTTCTCCCCGGCGCTGAAAAACGGAAGATACCGCCGGATTTTCGTCAAAACGAGCGTTATCAGGATTAAAAAAAAATTTGGCACAAGTTAAGACAATCAAGTTTAGCTACGATCATCTGGATAGTCCTTTAAAACAATGAAAAACAAAGCTGCGCAGAATTATATGTAATCAGTGACGGCTTGAGAAAACTTATTGACTTAAACAGCGCAAATAAGTTACGTAAGGAAGAGACAACAGGAAGGACTTATTTGCGCTGTTTAAGTCAAGATGTCTATCCAACTAGCCCAGCAACTCATTTTGGCTTGAGAAAAGTCAAGCGTGGCAAGTCCCGAGCAGCCTCTTCGCTGCCAATCAGTGTGCGGCATAAGTGGCTAAGAACGCCTAATCACGAAGCACAAAGTGCGAACATCATAAGCCGCACCATAAGATGCCACTGACTGTCGCGCTTGCGCAGTGCCGTTGATAGGAGGCCGCTCTGTGGCCGTGCCAGCGCTGGTCCCGGGGCTTGAAGCCCTCCACTTGCGGTTCGGCAAGCTGCCCTGGGCGTCGCTCTTCAAGGACGCCATCAGGCTGGCGCGCTTCGGCTTCCCGGTCTACGCCGAACTCGCTGCCGTGCTGGACAAGTACGCCAAGGCGGTCTTTCAACGACACACCCTCAGGTGGATGACACGAAAGTGGGCTGGCCTTAGTTGTCTATCTGCGTGTCTGTGTGTCACATCGTCAGAGTGGCGTGCCTTTCGTGTGCGCTTTGCTTAGGGTAATGTCATCTCATAGAGTTATTATAATGTACGCCAGAGGTTCATCCAAACTTGTGTCTATCCCACATACTCTACTTAAGATACTGTATTTAAAATACTTTTTCAAGTATCTTGGTATCTTGCAAATACTTTTGATCGAGAGTATTTAATACTCTATCTTAATTACATTCTGAGTATCTTGTACTCATTATCAGAAATGCATTTTTGACATTCCGCCATTTTCCGAGTTTTTCGGTGTGAAGTGGCGTGGGCGTGGCACGAGCAAACGTGAACATTCTTTCGAGCAACCAAACCCTGTTGTTAGCTCCGACTAGGGTGCCTCAATGACCTTCTGTTTAAAGTGATGCCACCCTTTGTAGTACCCGACGCCGACAGCAGCAGTATTTTCCCCATTCCACGGGGAAAATACAAAGAAATCGACGAAAACAAAATGTCGCCATAGCACAATCAGCGCCACAGACGCGTGCAGGGACACGCTCTTTCACGCGCTTCTGAACAAAAAATAAATGTAAAAGTGGGAACAAAATGGCCAGATGTCTCCACCCTAAGCAAAGCGCACATGAAGGCACCCTAGCTCTGACTAGCTAAGGTGACTATGATTGAGCTCGTGAAAACCTTTTTTTTGCCGATAGTGACTCATATTTCAGCCAAAACTTTGTACGATCAAGGCTTATTTCCGATGATGTACCAACTGGCCCATCTAAGCATTTTATTGCAAGGTTTTCCCCTCGCCTTCCCAGAGGCGCCTTTTGTTTCCTAGTTTTTTCAAAAAAAAAAAAATCCTCAAACAAAAGGGGTGGTTTTACCCAAGTAAAGGTAGCCACGCTTAGGTGCAACGCAGAGCGGGAAACTACCTACGACAGCAACGCAGACTTGAATGTTAAGAAAATAACAAATAAAAATAATTATAAAGTGAACAAGAACAAACAAATAAAGTTTGGCTTTTTGTATTTTTGACCCCGCTACGGCAAAGCGTCGGGGGTTTCTTTCGTTTCTTATCCTTTTGTCCTCAGTCCCTCACTTATTGCTCTCGCGAAAACTGTCTGTAAGCGAACATTGATAAGCAGAGAACAGGACAGGAAACGAACTACAATTGGTGGATGACCTATCAAAATGCCAACAAAGCGTCCCCCAACGCTGAGTGCCTTTCTGAACCCAACCTACTTAAAGGAGGTGCAACCACTGCCGTAGCTGTTATGTGGGCTCTCTCTGTTATCCATTCACTCATATCCGTATCCCAAGTTCGTTTATAGTGAACTCCCCATAGAGGGAATGCGGATTGTAGTAAACAATGTGTCTAAGATGCGCCGCAGGGCGTGATATTCAGTGATGTCATTATTGGCAAGGCGCTCTGACCCTTTTTTTTTTTTTTTCCACCACACATCGGTGTTTACTCAACACAAGGCCTGTTCGCATGCCCACAGGCCTTGTGAGAATGTTCATGTTATCTCCTTTAATAGAGCGCGGGTCACAGTGTAATGTAAAAATAGTAATAATAAACGAAATGACGTTAAATGTCGGAACTCTCCCAAAAGCAGTAGTAAGAGGATACGAGCTTGAGGGCTTTTGTGCCGAGCTGGGCACCGTGCATGCTGCATTAATCATTCAGGCTGGAGTGGTAACAAAAGAGACCCTCCTCCCCCTCACCGGAGAGCACGAACTCCAGCCGAACGCTGACGCCGCGTTCGGTTATGTCAGCCGAGTGCTGAGTCATTGTATTCGTTGTCCCCATCCGTGTAGTGCTAAAGTTAACCGCTTAGGGAGCCACGGTCTGATCTCCTTTCAAATAGCTAAAGCGACCTCTTTCTTGTCCCAGAAATGGTTTGTAACATGTAGCAGTACCTCTCAAAAATATTTCGATAAGCATCAGTTAATTACAAAATCGCAGTTTGGATTTCAAAAGTACCATTCCACTGAGCTTGCGTTTCTTGAAGAAAAGGGATTTATTTTCTTCAAGATAGAAGACTAGTTTTGGGAGTTTATATTGACTTTACAAAAGCTTTTGATTATTTGAACCACAAGCACTTATTACAGAAACTCGAATGTTATGGAGTACGCGGGCAAGCCCTTCTTTTATTGCAGTCATATCTCGAAAATCGTAAACAATATATGTGGTGTTATAATTTCGCATCCAGTATAAAATCCATAGTCTCTAAGTACCATAAGGAAGTGTCTAAGGCCTTTTTCTCTTGAACGTATATGTAAATGACATTGTGAATATTGACCAAACAACTAAATTGATAATATATATGCTGACGATACGACACTTCTGTATGCTGCGGACGATCCTGAGGAGCTCGTGTCAAAAGTGAACCTATTGTTAGGCCAGATATCGGTATGTACAAAAAAGAACACTTTGAAAATAAATAGAAGTAAAACTAAAGCCGTACTATTTCTATCTAAGCATAAAATTCTCCCTCCAATAAACACCATTACTTTAAACTCGGTAAATATCGAATTAACTGATAATTTTAAAACACTTGTAGTAGTGTATGTTTTCTCAGAATTTGTCCTGGGATAACCATATTGAACACTTAAATAAAAAAATGTCAAGAATTATGGGTATTATATGTCGGCATGGGTATATACTTCCTACATCTGTTAAAATATTATTATACAAATCATCATTTTATTCCCACTGAAATTATTGTTCGCTGGTTTGGGGACCCTCCTCCACTGCAACTAATCTTGAGAAAGTGCGCCTGCTTCAAAAAAGAATGTTGCGAGTAATTGCAAACGTGCCTTATCGTTCGCACACGGAAAACCTGTTTAAAACTTATAATATACTCAGTAGTCACAATCTTTATAACTATAGGCTATCCACAAAACTTAGAACAGAATTTCTTTACAACACTTCGTCCCTGGTAGGATTGTCTGGTTTGCAACAACATATCGTACCATACCAAATTAGTAATCCAGATTACTGGCACGTACAAACGTGTCGGCTAAACACTGGAAAGGAAATGTTAGCAAACCTAATCCCAAAGCTTTGAAATGTATTGCAATCTGAAGGTGTGTTTATAGATAGATTAAGTCTGGGTGAATTCCGCTTTGTCATGCATGATTTTGCATTTATGGATTGATGTGATAATATTTTTTTTCTTAGTTTAAAAGTATGTTTTGTGTTGATTTACGAATGTCAACTAATATGATGCTCAGTGACGTTTTCTATTTACCGTTTTTCTCCTCCGCTACGGTATCCGTAAAAAAAATGCCGCAGCTGCGCATGCACGCAGCCAGCATTGTCTGCATAGTTCAAGGTCTTGGGGCGGATTACGGAGCGCTATCCGGGTGCTTAGCGGGCTGCGGGAACGGTCTACGACAGTTCCCCATTGCCACGCGCTTTGCCGAGCGAGCGCGTGGCCGAATGGTCAAAATGATGGGTTTTTACGCACAGTACGTTACCAAAGTGAGATTGAGAAATATTCTACCAGAGTTTGTGGTGTCGTCGAGTACCGAAGCGAGTGGTAGTGTCCGTGGTTACCTGCGAGAAGTTCTGCTATCTTTTGAGATGTTGAAGGTGCGTTTTTGTTTAGAATACCTGGGTAATGTAACGCGAAAGAGGTTGCATATAGATTTAATTGACGTCTTATTGCCCGTACCCCTTTACAGACCTCTCTATTCGGAGGGAACGGGTCAGGATGTACTAAAAAGCGTCAAAAGAATGCCGATAAAACAAGCGGTTAAATCATTTTTCTTTGGACTACACAGCGGCACACTCCCTGTGAAGTCGTGGCTCGAGAGTAGGGAGATATTTGTTCCATGGACAACCAACTCACTGCTCTGTAAAAGACCAGAGACCATAGCATAGAGCGTCTCTTCATCGAATGCTGGGACGTGGTTTTTTATTGGGATATTCTCCAGCGCACACTAAAAAAGGACCTTCCTGTAACTCCGTTTGGTATTCGGTTCTTGCCCATCGAAAATGAAGGTGGGGTTCCGCACGACATGATTATGGTACTCGGTCTTCACAGTATTTGGAAAACGAGAATGGCTGTGGGCACCATGCGGACGTCGATGTACGGTCAGTGCGAGGATAATTTATTGAGAGCGTGGCATACATTCGAACAGTTCTTGCGGCACGGCCTGAACCCCCTGACTGGTTGCCGCTTCCAAAAAAAGCTGGTGTGCCTTAAACGATTTTAAATGTAACCGCGCTGGTCTAGAGGAGGTTGTCGGTTTCTCTTTTAACATTCTCATGCGTGTACTTAGTGGAATTGTCAAAACAGGCAATAAAGAAAAAAAAAGCGCGTGGCCGAATGGTTACCGCGCTTGGCTTTCGCGCGGAGGCTCCGAGTTCGATTCCAGGGAGCGGACTCCTCTTTTATTTATTCTTTGAACTTGAGATTCTCGCAAGTTCGAGAACCTTGTCGTCTGATCGAGTTACGAATGCTCTACGCGCCGAAGGTTCTACGCCGAAGACTCTACGCCGAATCTTCCAGAAACCCACGCGAGTAGAAAAGGTGCTCCGCGTACCGGTCCGGAGTCAGTCTTGCCCCAGGGCACGATCCTGCTGTTTCGCCGACATCTACGCCTGCTACGCTAGCCTTTCTCTCTTTTGTTTTTGGGAAGAAGTTCGCCCCATTAAACGTTTAGTTTCTTCAGTTATTCACCGCCTCATCATTCGTCATTCGTGACAATATCCTGATCCTTATAGTTGAACTGCATAAAACAGCCCTACGATACTTTTGTTTTTGTTCTATGTTGTTGCGTGCTAAAAAAAACATCCTGGTAAACCAGATTTGCGCAGCTGTATAATTGTCGTTGCGACTGACGTCGATACAGATTACGCAATGCGGAAGTATCTTCAAAAATATTTGAAATACATTTTTAGGTATTTGTACTTTACTCAAGACACTTTACAGTGAATGTAACTTGAGTAGTGTTTCAAATACTTAATG